TTTGACCGATCCACACACACGCCTATGTGACAGCTGCATTCCTGTCTCCACCACAATCCCATCCTCCACCTCTGCTGATGTCCCATCATCCACTACATCCACCACTTCATCTACTAAAATTAAACTGGGTAAGCACTGTTGTTTTCTTCTGCATGATGTGTGTACACTTGTATTCTAGGGGTAGTATGCTTAAAGCAAGGTTGGATTATGGACTGGGCCAATGTTTTGACAGGGGCTTCCAAAGCATCAGGTCCCATGGCCAGTGCCGGATTTATGCATAGGCATCCTGTGCCTATGCTCACATATCCAAGAGGACCCAATTACAATAAGGAGAAATAATTACTAGGCTATTTATTCTACAGGGTACCTACAACAACAAAAGAACCAAAACCCAAAAAGACATTTACCAAGCAAATAAATATAACACACAATAGGATAAAAACAACAACTATTTCTATGTTTTCCTGATGATACATTTAAATAACTGTGAAACACATTTTTCTCCAGCTATTTCGCATACAAAGAGACTTTTTCAATACAGTAGTTTTGCAACTGACAAGCATACCATTTCTCAGCATGGAGGTGGTAACGTCGCTGTTTTTTAAGACGTTAAACTTGCATATTCGCTATTCTTCTGCCAAACACTGTTGAGTTGAACAGTTGGACACTGCTGTAATGTTGCTGTTAAGATTTGAAAAGTTACAACGCTCAAAGTCAACTCCAAAGGAAGTTATACAATTTAACAGAAAACACTTTTCAAGAACTACAACAAATGGCTCGTTCGGACTATAGCACGCTTCTTCCGGATATTGTGACATCACAGTCACTCATTTAAATAATTCCCGCCTACGGGATACACAAAAGTGGGAAGAGGCCTGGGTGAGCTACACTAGAGAAGACGAAGATGAAGAGCTGCTTTAGTAGCACGTTGTTGCGGTTATTGTAAGGGGCGTGACATTTCCAGAACATGCTCTAAGCGGTTCGCCAGTCACAACGCACTGGGTCAGCTGACCAATCAGAGCACATTTCATATTTTGGAAGGAGGGGCTTCATCGAAACAGGAACTAAACAGTGCGTTCGAGGCAGATTGGGAGGCGAGATGCTGCAATAATGTAAAATATGTGAAAAATAATGCATTTTTGGAACAATCAAGCATGAAAACATTTTCTAGTAAACCCGCAAAAACCAAATCAATGCTTTATAAAAGGGCATAATAGGACCCCTTTAAAGTAGAGTAAGTGGCCTGCCACCAGATTATACATATACAGGTGCATCTCAATAAATTAGAATGTCGTGGAAAAGTTCATTTATTTCAGTAATTCAACTCAAATTGTGAAACTCGTGTATTAAATAAATTCAGTGCACACAGACTGAAGTAGTTTAAGTCTTTGGTTCTTTTAATTTTGATGATTTTGGCTCACATTTAACAAAAACCCACCAATTCACTATCTCAACAAATTAGAATATGGTGACATGCCAATCAGCTAATCAACTCAAAACACCTGCAAAGGTTTCCTGAGCCTTCAAAATGGTCCACGACATTCTAATTTATTGAGATGCACCTGTATAATCTTTAAAAAAGTCTTGCATTACTAATGTATCTAACATTGGCAAAAGTATTTTGAGCTTGTGTTAACCACAAACATTATTTCAGGAATCAACAACACATTCAAACTTATTTCCCGGTTTCAAGGATCATTCGTGCAGCACTACAGAAAGTCAGAACAAGTCACTTCATTCTTGATATTCATTAGATATTTAATTGCAGACATTAATTTTTGCCTGTTTTAGTTCTTAGATTACTCTTGCTATTACCTGATACAACCTTTTTAGAGAACTGTTTCTTGAAGAGATCTTTCCCTTATAGGATCTTTTCCATTTAACCTGTTTAGCTATTCATCTCAACATAAAAGCTAACTTACATCCTTGTATTTATTTTACAGGTGACAGTAGTGTGGTGTGGATTTTATGTGGATTAAGTTCTCTAATGTTATCCATTATCATCCTTATGCTGTTCCTCCGGCTCTGCAGGAAGAAAGAGAAGGAATGTTTTAAACATTGTGAGTAACACACACGTGAACACAAACACATTTTTTTTTCTCAGATGTTTTGTGAGTTGATCACTATCTTACCTCTCACTGTCTCTTTTCTTCATTAGTTGTCAGGCAGTGCTCATTGGGTAATATGGAGGTAAGTAATGAGCAATTGCACATTTTGGCAGTATGTGAACAAATATGTCATGAATTATCTGACTCACAGTCCTTCAATTTCTTCAGGTGGACAGTGAGACTGCACCTCCTACTAGCCAACCAGATGAGCAGCCCCATGCCCAGGAGATGTTGTCACATGGCAGCACACCCACCAATCACAACACAGACTGCTCGTTTCATCAGCCAATCAGCTCAGAGCAGGCTGTGCCTCCAGCTGGCAATTTAGGTACTATAAAGAGTTGCTTTTTGTAATTGTCTTCTTTTATGAATATTTGATTTGACTGTGAAATCATGTAAAGTGGTCAAACCAATATACATAAACATGCAGTAAAAAACAAAACAAATAATTATATTATAAAGAGGACCACTGCAGACCCTCATGACTGTGTGACAAGGTCAATAAGCTGCTTAAAATATCACATAAATTGTTTGTATGTATATTCATGTAGGCTATGTATAAAATTAAATCTATAACAGACTGTTCACTTAATGGTTATGCAGTTACACCAAATGACATTTGTATGAATTATTCATGATATAATAATAAATTAAATAGTATATAAGAATTAAATAACCAGACATATAACAATTGAAATACAAATTAAAAAATATTATTATAATGCGTGTGCATGCGTATATATTTTACCCCCATGGAAGCCTGTTTCCACAACTGAATAAACAAATAAAACAAGGTAATTGTGACTTTTTATCTTAAAATTCAGAGTTTTTTTCTCAGTTGCGAGTTTACATCTCATCACTTTTTTTTTTTATCACTTGCGTGATATAAACTCACAGTTCTGAAAAAAGTGTGAGAAAAAAAGTCATAATCGTGAGATTTAAACTCGCAATTCCAAGAAAAGTTTTCAGAATTGTGAGAAAAAAGTCAGAATTGTGGTATATAAACGTACAATTACGAGAAAAAGGGATGAATTGCGAAATATAAACTCACAATTGCAAGAAAAAAAGTCTGAATTGCGAGTTTATATCACACAGATCTGACTTTATAACTTGCACGCAATTGTGAGAAAAAAATTCGAGAAATGCGAGTTGTGAACTCACAATTGCGAGAAAAAAAGTCTGAATTGCGAGTTTATCTCCTCCGAAAAATGTCAGAATTATAAGATAAAAAGTCACATTTACCTTGTTTTATTTTTTATTTTATTTTTTATTCAGTGGCAAAAACAGGATTCGATACGTACCCCATAAAAAAGCAATGGGGGAAAAAAACAAACAAACAAACGTGCAAATAGTATGAAAATTCAACATTCTCTCTTTCTCGTAGGCCCTCTTCACATCTACAGTCCCCAGACAGTTTTTGTTAGTTTGCTCAATCAATTCGGATGGGATGGCGGCGAGAAAAAAGCACACGAACTCCAAAAAGAATCACTAAACAACATCAACGTGCCTTACCCTCAGTCTCCCCCCGTCCATCTGTCTGAGGAGGAAAGGAGCGGAGAAAACGATTTCATCTTCTTCCCATCTCAGGAGCAAGGTAAAGAGTGCCACATATCTAAAGAAGAGGTGCTGTGAGGGATAACGGATTATTTGTGTCCGTCTTCTTCCGTACTGTTCGACTGCTGTGTGGTTTGTTTTAACTGATGCTTCGTGAGTACCCAGTAGTAAAACTCTAACCCTGGCAGGGGATTTCATCGAGAGAGCAACAGGCTGCGTTAGGGGAAGGCCTGGGTGTGTGACTAACAGTATGGACGACATAATTGTTGCGTATGAGCTTGACAGTTCATGCCAGCTTTGCAATATCACCCATAAACGTACTGTTTATGCGTAACCACTGATTCTAAGCCATCAGAACAGCAGGCAGTGGGATGCTGATGTTGACTGTAGGAAGAGTCGATACCAAAGGCTTTCACGTCTTACGATGGCTGAATGACTCTCAGGAAGTGTTTGAAAGCAAAGAGCAGCTCTATAACACTCAGAAGACCAAAGATTCACATATGTTGTGATATTTATTTTATGTAAATTTATTGAAGTCATTGTAACTGCAATGTGTCCCATAATTTCCTATCTGTCTGTCTGTCTGTCTATCTATCGTTCTATCTATCTATCTATCTATCTATCTATATCGACTTCTGGGGCATTTTGAATATAAAACATTTATATTTATTTATACTCGTTATTAATTCTATTACAAATGTTAAAAACACAAAAACAGTTTTTTGTTCTCACGCAGTTTATCAGTGTTCGATCACGTTAAGTCCCTGGTTAATGTTGTCAGTGTTCTTCCTCTTTTCTTTGGTTTTTATGCGACAGACATGATGGATTGTGCCATCAAAAAAGCCCTGACATTTTGATGGTGGTCTGGAAAGGTCAACATTGTTTCTTCATTTAGAAGTCAATAAGCACAGCACAGCACAGGAACACGCAGTAGCTGTTGTGTCATCATATATTATGTTTTATATTCGCTGTAATACACATTTTTAAACTTGATATTAATCATAAAGTGCAATAAAATCAATAAAGGTTTATTTTTTGGTATGTTTCTCAGAGTACTTCATTAAATTCACTGCAAGATAGCAAATACAAATACAAATGTGTTTTCTATTTCATACAACTGGGTAGCTGACATAAAATGCTTCTAGGAAATGACATGCTATATTCCCATCAAAAACTTCTTTTTAAAATATTTGAAACAATATTTTGTTAATTCTATTATCATTTTATAGATGCAATAACTCAAGATCAATAACTTCATGTTATTTTGAGACGTGTTAAAATAAATGGAAAACTTCATAAAAAAATAACTTCAAAATAAGTGAAAAACTTCAACTTGCACTTTACCTTATACATTCATACATATACATATACACCTAAAAGAAGTCCATGGGCATGCTGTGCAAAAACTACCCAATTATAAATACAAACAAGCGTGCAGAGAATAAAACCTTCATTTGTTGAAAAAGATTAGCTCTATGTTGTATGTTGAGTGTGTGCTTATGTGCAGTGGCAATACAAATCTCTCTCTATCAGCATTTCTCAGGAAGGACAGTCATTCTCACAGAACCTTCAGATGGGCCACCTGAGTGCAGATTTTCTCTTGCGTAAATGGCAGCAGCAGGTTTGTATCAGAGTAAATACTCAATCCATAGACGCATCAGTGGTCTTCTTCCCGCTCTTTTCTCAGACATCCTCCAGTTTTTCAGTCTTTCCACACATCTCCTGCACTGGCATTGGTACCTCCTCTTCCTCTGTGCACTGACTGGATCCAAAGTTGCTCTTGTCGGTGCGCCAGAGACCTGACAACCCAGTACAATACACATCATTAAAGCTTTTTCCTATTATGCAGTACATCTTCATAAAATGTTTTAATCTATTGGGTGAAATAATTTAAAAATATGGAAATCACACAAACTTGTTTTCTTCTAAATATTATAATTAAGTGACTATAGAGGTTAATTAAAATTATTTCAGTAAATTTTAAATGGGTTAATGGATTTTTCCTGGGTTTTCTGTACTTCGAACATGTCCTTTCTCTACTCAAATGTTTCCAAAAAATATATTATATTATGTTATATGTTATGTTAGTTATTATTAGATATACAAGCTGGGAAACACTCAAAACAGATGCCCAGTCCATTTTATTATATTATATTATATTATATTATATTATATTATATTATATTATATTATATTATATTATATTATATTATATTATATTATATTATATTATATTATATTATATTATATTATATTATATTATATTATATTATATTATATTATATTATATTATATTATATTATATTATATTATATTATATTATATTATATTATATTATATTATATTATATTATATTATATTATATTATATTATGTTATTAGATATGCAAGCTGGAAAATACACAAAATAGCTGGTCAGTCCATCTTATATAAGATATGATATGACATGATATTATATAATATTATATCATATTATATTATTAGATATACAAGCTGAGAAACACTCAAAACAGATGGTCAGCTGATCATAAATATATTATATTATATTATATTATATTATATTATTAGACATACAAGCTGAGAAACACTCAAAACAGATGGTCAGCTGATCATAAATATATTATATTATATTATATTATATTATATTATTCATGCAATGGAGTGTCAGTATATCAAGTACTCATGCAAGCGTATAAAGAGCAGGTTTTCTTTGTGAATTAAAGCACTGATGTGTTGTTTATAGTAGCACTGACCGGGTGATGTTGGCATGATCCATCCATATTGTCGTGCATGTCTGCTGATGAGAAGGAAACAGGTGAGCAGAACACACACACACACACACGCACAACACAGACTCACCGAGATCCACATTATATCTGGAAGAGGTTGATAGAAAGGGAGCAAATGGATGGAGAAAAGGAGAGAGAAAGAGTAAACAGGTCAATAGAGAATACACCTGATATACTCTGTGTGTGTGATAGACTCTTTGCCTTCAACAGCAGCTACTTTAATAGATTGACAACAGCGGGTCAGGACACTCACCATGGGTGGGCGGTATTGTTTTAGTAGAAGCAGGAGAAGAAACAGTAGCTGTCTGAATCTTCTCACACTCCTGGCATTTACTGTCTCTGCATCTGTAGCCCTCAACACACGTGCACACTGCATCACTTGTCGCCGTACAATTCTTCTCATACTTCATATCTGCACAATTAAAACAGTGAAAGGGCTTATGTAGAACTGTAAGTGTATATCAGTTTCTTCAACTGTGAGAACTCACACTTTTCAAACAATAGTTCATTTAATTTTAATTCCCCCCCCAGAACTTTCATTAAAAAATATAATTTCTACCATTATTACCACAATAAAATGAATGCTGATTTGAGATGTGGCAAAAATAACATTGATTGATTGATAGACTGACTGATTAAATTGAATTAAATTGAATAAAATGAATAAAATTTCATATGAAATTCTGTAAGAATTGTCAGAATTACTGTTTGATTGTAAATGACCCACAATAGAAAAATATGTAATATTCACATTTACCTTGACTTTTCTTTGTTTTCATCACATTTCAGAGATGCTTTGTTCAACCATTTGGGGTCAGTAATGAATATTTTTAATCAGCAAAGTCACAGTATATTGATCAAAAGAGACCGCCAAGGCATTTATAATGTTACAAAAGACCTCAATTTCAAATAAATGCTGTTCTTTAGAAAGTTCTATTCAACAAAGTATCCTGAAAAAAGTATAACAGCATCCACAAAAATGGCAGCACAACTGTTTTTCAACACTGACACATGTGATCAGAATTGTTGCTACCCATGGTACAGTGGGGAAAATATTTATTTGATCCCCTGCTGATTTTCTAAGTTTGCCCACTTACAAAGAAATGAAGGTCTGTCATTTTTTAGGTAAGTTTATTTTAATGGATAGAGACAGAATACCAACCAAAAAATCCAGAAAAAAACATTATATAAAGGTTAGAAATTGTTTTAGTGACTGAAATAAGTATTTGATCCCCAAGCAAAACATGACTTATTACTTGGTGCAGAAACCCTTGTTGGCAAGCACAGAGGTAAGACGTTTTTTGTAGTTGGTCACCAGGTTTGCACACATCTCAGGAGGGATTTTGATCGACTCCTCTTTACAGATCCTCTCTAAATCCTTAAGGTTTCTGGGCTGTCGTTTGGCAATTTGAAGTTTCAGCTCCCTCCACAGATTTTCTATAGGATTGAGGTCTGGAGACTGGCTAGGCCACTCCATGACCTTAATGTGCTTCTTCTTGAGCCACTTTGGCGGTATGTTTCGGGTCATTGTCATGCTGGAAGACCAATCCATGACCCATCTTCAGTGTTCTGGCTGAGGGAAGGAGGTTCTCGTCCAAGATTTTACAGTACATGGCGGTGAAGTCGTCCTGTACTCTTAACAGAAAAACAGCCCCAAAGCATAATGTTTCCGCCTCCATGCTTGACTGTAGGGATGGTGTTCTTGGGGTCATTTTCAGCATTTCTCTCCCTCCAAACATGGCGAGTCGAGTTAATGCCAAAGACCTCAATTTTGGTCTCATCTGACCACAGCACTTTCTCCCAATAGGTCCTGTTTGATTTTTATTTCTTTTGAAGGTTTTCCGACCCTGAGACTTAACTATTTTCTGCAATTCTCCAGCTGTGGTCCTTGGAGAGTCTTTAGCCACTCAAACTCTCCTCCTCACCGAGCATTAGGATGATATAGACACACGTCCTCTTTTCTTAAAGTCACTTTCTAATTTGTGAAGCTCAATTATCTTTTGCTGCACATCAGAAATATATTCTTTGGTTTTTCTCATTGTGATGGATGATTAAGGGAATTTGGCCTTTGTTTCCCCTCCTATTTATATTCCTGTGAAACAGGAAGCCATGGCTGGATAATTTCATGTTCATAATCACCCTGGTATGATCAAAATTGTAAATATGAATGGGAATATACTTCACAGATATTTTACTCATAAGAATTTCTTGTGTCCAACGTGTATTTGAGAAAAACATTTATTTCATAATGAGATTTTCCCCCATTTTCAATTGTTTTAGTTCAATGAAAGGTTAGAATTTAGTGATTTTTTTTTTAAATAAAATATCAAAGGGATTAATAATGCAGGTTTATTTTCACAGCCTTCTTTGATCATATTTACCAAGGGTACCAACAATTCTGACCACGTGTGTATGGACCAATGATTATTTTTGAGCACCAAAACATAATATTAGAATGATTTCTGAAGGATCCAGTGACACTGAAGAGTTCAAATGGGACCATCTTACAACAAAAAGAATGAAACCCCTATAGGACATAAAAGTGCCTGCACTTATACAGTCATTTCAACAAGACAAGTGTCAAAATAAAACAGCAAGCTCAAACACAGTTTTTTTTCTGCTGACTCACAAATAAACTCTCACACCACCTCAGGATATTCACTTTTCATTTCTGCTCATATCTTTCTATCACGAGACTCCTTAGCCTGGTCATTTGGCCATAGGTATCTACAATCTGAACTAAAGTGTCATTTGGCATAAGTTTCAGAGAAAATGTTTGACGATTTACTAGAAACATTTTTTTCTAGTTTAACCAGCACGTCTATCTTTGGTAAATTAAAATGTATCTTGGGCTTTTAAATACTTTGTTTGTTCAGTTACTTCAAACATTAGTTTCTCTCGTATTGCTTGCTATATCACCTTTTCTTCCCAAATGACAATTTGTCAAGTATTTTGTTTGTTTAATCGTCAAATTCAATCTTTAGCAGGACATCTGCATATCAAAACATCTCAGACATCTCAGTAGGCAGTTATTTCCGTTACCACTCAGGTGCACTTGTTTTTTTCCAGTGCTACACATGTATTTTCAAGATTTGCTGTCCTATGTTTGTTACCAGATGATTTTCAGACCACCACCTACAGTACCTCCATACTAAAAACCCACCAAGATCTGCTGAAGGGGAAGCCCCTGCTTTGTTTTACTGTCATGTTTGGTATTTCTAGTTTATGACTTTTCATACTGATTCATCTGAAGATTCAGAACATGTCATTCTAAGAACATACAACCTGTTTTGTGATCATAAAGAAATCGAGTGGACATACGGTCTTTGGTGCACGTTGTACAATGAGAGCACCAGTTGTAATTGCTGTTATAGTCGTCCGTGAAGAAGCCATTTCCACATGGGGCACACAGAGTAACAGGCATTTTTTGTTTGCAGTTCTCTAACACATACTCTCCTGTATAAACACACACAAAGGCAGGGAAACATGCATGTAATGAGAGACATCAGTGTGGCAGAATAATGCTGACTTTGACAAAATGCTGACATTCATGAACGAGGTATTCAATGCTGACTGGTTTGAGAGTTTACAAAGTTGAGTTCAGAGAACAGGTCATCCTCATACGAGAAACATGATGTGTCAGACCTTAGGTAAATGTCATATAGCTGAACCCTGAAATATCCTTACATAATGCAATCGGCACATCCCGACTTTAAATGGTCTTGATTCGGTCTGCATAAACAGTCTACAATCAATTCTATAATAATTTGTCTCTAAAATTAGATTCTTTTAACGTTGCCTCAACCTAATGCCTAATCTCAACTCAAGTTCTTTTGCTTCAGTGCACTTTACGTTAATTATCTAATCTTAACTGAAGAACAGCTTAGTTCTTTCTCCTCTTAAGTACAACTCTGACTCAAATCTGCTCACAGTGATGAGGCAGCTGATTTCATTTACCTGGTTTACATTTTGTGCAGCATGTTTTGTCATTTAAGTACTCTGTTTTGTCATCGCACGACTGTGATTGGACGAGAGGAAGGACATGTGATGAAAGCAGGAGGACACTGAGCAGGGCAAGCATCTTACTGGAAGAGAAAAAAAGAAGCGTGTGAAGGTTCAGAATGACACATGACACCTGGAATGACTTTAAATGTGTTCGCAGAGAATGTAAAAAGTCATACAAATCATGAATATATTACTTGGCTGTAACTGGCCTTACTTCGTGTTAAATGTTTAATGTGATAATTACTGATAAATAACTTTTTGGTTATATTATGTTCTTTATATTGATTATATTGTTAAATTGATCTTTTGTCACAAATTATGATCAATTACATATGTGACCCTGGACCACAAAGCCAGTCATAAGGGTCAATTTTCTGAAATTTAGATTTATACACCATCTCAAAGCTGAATAAATAAGCTTTTCATTGATGTTAGGATAGGACAATAGTTGGCCGAGATACAACTATTTGAAAATCTGGAATCTGAGGGTGCAAAAAAAATCAAAATATTGAGAAAATCGCCTTTAAAGTTGTCCAAATGAAGTTCTTAGCAAAGCAAATTACTAATCAAAAATTAAGTTTTGATATATTTACAGTAGGAAATTTACAAAATATCTTTATGGAACATGATCTTTACTTAATATCCTAACGATTTTTGGCATAAAAGAAAAATCAATAATTTTGACCCATACAATGTATTTTTGGCTATTGCTACAAATATACCCCAGCGACTTAAGACTGGTTTTGTGGTCCAGGGTCACATATGCAATATAGAATATAAAAGCAGTGTGTGTATATATATACATATATATATATATATATATATATATACACACATAGCATTTAGTAGAAATGTTATCTTTTTATCTTTTCATAACATATATATTTTTATTTATGATTTTTGTTTTACTTTTGAAAAGTTATATATTTAAAAAATGTACTTTTTTCCAAAACAAATACAATTTTGTTGAAACAAACAATGAGTCAATAATGTTATTTTGCCATTGCTCATCTCTATACTCTGTACGAATAAGTGAATGAAGTATGTGTCAATGATTATACAATGAATGTTACAAAAAACACCAGACAGATCCGGCCCCTCGCTTGCTAAATTCAGCTTGACCTAATTACGTTTTTGTAGTTGTCATTCAATTTAACTTTTAATTGACATTGATAAAACTGTTTGCATTCTTACAATAAGATCACAATAGATTTGCTGCAACATCACATGCAAGTATGTCATTTTTTACCATCCCTGTTAAATCACACATCCTTTACATACGCTCTAAGATAGTGAAGTCTTCAGAAGATAGTGACTGAAGTCTTACCTTGAAAGTGTGTACCAGATAGGAGACAGTGAGAAAAAGACGAGAGCTGTGAGTTAGTCGAGCCCCTCTGAAACTTTGAAGATGAGGGGACAACTCTTCAGCATTAAATCTTTATCAGAAATGTCAGATGAGTCATATTTAAACTAAGTTCAACCAACGTTATGAATAACTCTGCCTTAGGACCCCCAATAGCAGCAGCAGGTCTTTCTGTTGATATTTCTCCTGCGCCTCTTTTTCCCCTACCCCAAACATTCCATTAAAGGTTTTCTGTCTTGGTTTAACTTTTAACTAGTTCCAAAACAAACTCTCTCTTTCTCTCCATCTCTCTTTGAAACTAATACATGCACACACAAACACTCTAGATGAAAAGGGTCTTGTATCTCATTCTGAGTAAAAGCATGAGTAAAAAGACAAGCTCTTTAACAGCCACTCATTCTGAGATGTGAGATTAGTAGTGAGGCCAGTGGTTGAATAACGTCCAATCGCACAGAATCCATGAAGCTCGTCATTTTATCCTGAGTTTAGATTAAAACGTCTGCTTAGCATAAAGTGCATTATGTCCGAGAGCTGCCATAACGATTTCTATTTTGGGTTTATTTTCCAAAACATGAATTCACTTAATCTAATCTTAATCTACTAACTTTCCCCCCTAACTGTTACTCACACTTACGAGCTGTCAACTCATTGGTTTTATTCAGTGGAATTGATACCACTATGAGAGAAGAGTCATGTCCTTCTTGTAGTTTGTAGATCAGACATGCCACCGCAGCACACGTGCACACACACAAGTGCAGTAGTGTTTACAGTAAAAGGAGGGCTCACCACAACATCGCTACAAATGCGAAGATATAAGAAATGTTACCTCAGCACCTGCAGATAACATCACCTGCTGACAGGCAGGCAGCTTTACTGAACTCTAGGCTTCAAGTAAAAGAGTTTTCCCCTTATGAGTGAGTCCCCTCCTCTAAGCAGTCACATTAGGTCAACCTGAATTTCTATTCCGTCACATACCTGTTCCTGGCGTGGTGTGTTTTCGTATTTAAGCATGTTTCCTCTTAATATTTTCACACTTTCCTTTATAGGCGACAGCTGAAATTGTGAACTAACCGATGTTCTTTTGAAGGTTGCAGATGAAAATCCTGACTGATAATGAAATCTTTTCTTTTAACATTTATACTGTCATTTTTGTCAACTTTAGTCATCTCTTGCAGAGAAACTGTGTTCAGCAATATGTTCAGTAGCCAGATTCATAAGAAAGGAGTTATGAAATTACTTCAGATAAGTTTGGTAGAAGTGCAATTCTTGAAAATGTTCTCAAATATTGAAGTATTCTCAAAGGCTTGAAAATGACAAGGCTGAGTGGCTTTTTATAATGTGCTGTGTTTGAAATAGATATTTTTTAATATATTTAAAGTAATATATTTAAAATACATTTATTTCAAACTAAGTATAGTTCAAATTTATTAACATATTTACTGACATATCGCTTGAGACTTACTGATATAAAATTATAATTAAACTTTATTTGGAGTACTACTTGTGCACAATGCACATTTCTTAATATTAAGCCTAAAATATTTTAATATCATTATTGATAAGGATTGTATGATCTTTGAATAATATCAGGCTTTAAATGCAAGATATTTAAAGTGTACCTGAAGTAGTTCCACTTTAGTACAGTCAAATATACTTACAGTATATCTTTGTTGGACTTCAGCACTACTTCCGGACAATTAAAGTGCATCAAGTACAAAATTAGTTGTTCTAATTTAGCAGACTTTAAGTATACGAGTTTAGTATACTAAAAGTACAATTGCAGGGTATTTTTATTAAGCGCATAAATACGTAAATGTATTTGTGGTATACTTAGCATGAAATAAATGTATTTCGAATACATATTTATTTTTCACTAGGTGAGCCTGTTGCACTGAAGAGAGTTACTGAATTTCAAATTCAGCAAAAAAAGTCACACATAACCAGGTCTTATCATTGTTTACGCTCTTGATGATTCGTGTCACTTTAGAGTACTCATGCAGATCCTTAGTAGCTATCGTTGCAATATTTCATAACAACAATTATTCTGAAACCAATAAATTCATTTAAAATCCTACCTTTCAGAATTTAAGACAAGAACAGGATAATTAGTGTAATGATGATGGAAGGAACCTGATGCTGCAGAATAAGCCACGAGTTACTTTTGGAAGTTACAAAAATGACAATGAGGTGGAGAGAAGGTGGGGCCATGGCAGGGTTAATGGAGGGAGGTACTAGGATGGAGTGAGGAGTAGAAAACCACAGTGGAGCAGAAGGGTCACAAACTCTTGGATAAGGAGATGAAACAGAGGATCATGGTGGATCTGGCAGAACAGTAAATTGTGGTGAAGCCGGTGATGCTAAAGGTCCTTGGGAGAACAAATGGAGCAGAAGGATGAGGAAGACTCAATGAAGATGAGCTTAAAGTCTAGATCAGTGGTTCTCAATTCCAGTCCTCGCGTACCACCGCTCTGCACATTTTGTATGTATCTCTTATCACTCCAGACGTTTGCTCTACTTGACCTGCGAAGTGGACATCACAGGATATTCCGCCATGATTCCAGTTCGAAAGGAGCGTATATGTTCCATTCAAAGGGCATTAAAGTGTGCGAGATGTAAATTTAAATTGTATTTATTTACAGAGGTATATTATTTCACACTTCACACTTCACTAGTAAGTTTCGCAAATCTGTGAATGAATGTTCCAAGGTGAAATAAACTTCAATGGATTTTCCTTGCTCAGGGAGTAGGAAACAGAGAACATTGTGTAGGGACCATGTCAATCGGAACACAGTTCATGCATAGACCTCTCTTCTAATGAGCTGGTTATGTGGATCAGGTGTGTTAAATAGCTAAGAGAGACATGCAAAATATGCAGAGCGGTGGTTTATGGAACCAGAGAAGGAACAATTGCCCAGAGGTAGGTAGTCTGAGGTGTAACCGGGAAGTCCCCAATGCTGGGTGGGACCAGCAGAAGACGAACAATAGCCCTGGGTGGAACAAAGGAGTCCACTGCACTGTACAGAACCAGAAGAGGATGAGGAGCTAAAGCCGTAGGCTGAGGAGGAGAAAAGGTTGGGGAACTGGCTCTGGGATGGACTTTCCAGTGGGAGCTGGTACTGAGATGGATGAGGCTTCCAACTGATGGGCAAAACCCATCAAAAGTTTTGGAGAAAGAAGCCCTTGCACTGAGCACAAGGAACATCAAAACTCTCTGGAAGTTTATGCACTGACATACAGGTAGACAAAATGAGAATAGGTGACGGGGGGGGGGGGGGG